AATGGCTCCCCACTCACACAGCAGTCATGTCTGAGGGAGAGGGAGGAGGGCAGTGATGGGGGGGTGGGGGGTTTCGTCAGCAGCCGGGGTCATTTGTAACAACTGATGAACGAGCGACTCAAATAAATGAATAAGCTGACTGTATCTGACCCACCCAGCTTTTCCCAGGCACTTGGGTGTCACAGCAGTTTGGCGGGGGCTGGCGTGTGTGGGGGGTGCAGGAATTCAGAGGAGGCCCGAACACGGCGACGGTGCCACAATTGATTTTCTCATTGCTTCAGTTTGTCGCTTAATCTGGCGATATGCTGATAAATCTCCGCACTTTGTCAATTAATTTCGCTGAAAAATGAGACCCAAAATGGCGGGCACATCAATACAGCAGCGGATTCCGTGTCAAAAATTAAGCGGTAAAATTAATTGCCCTCCCATCCGCTCCTGCTAAAACATAACTAATGAGGGAGGCAATTATAGCTGCATGCTGACTCCTCCGGGGTTATTTAAAAACACACACACAGACAGACACACTATATCTATACATTTGCGCACATGTGCAAAGTAAGATTGTACAATTTGACTTTAAAGTGTTTTTTTATGTGGAGGGAGTGTATGGCTGAAGTGCATCATGGGAATGAAAGCAAATAAACTCTTTGTCTCTCTTTTAAGAATAGAAACATTAGCTGAAGTGTTTCTACCTCAAACATAAAGACATGTTTTTGACTTTGATCCGATTTGTGTTTGTTGGAACAACCACCTGCCAAGCAAACACTGAAATCCTCCTCTTCATGCTTTAGTGGTTCTCCCAGTGCATGCATGAGATTTCACCAGGTACTCCAACTTCCCCCCATGCACACATGCATGGTTGTGTTTCTCTATGTTGCCATGTAATTTACTGGCAACCTGGCTAATTTAATCTTAATCTAAAAGGTTACATTGATTAAGTTACCTTGAGATATCTGATTTTTAATTGTGTTAAAGGGATAATCTTTAGTTAAAGAGGGAACATTTGTGAGCAACAACTTCATATACCGGGAAAAAAAAACAAAATCTAGATAAATCCTTTAATTTGAATTTAATTTCTTAAAATTTGTGCATTTTTTTTTCTTGAATTGAGGAGGTAAGTGAGACACTTTGCCAACGGAACAAGTAAGAAACAATTGCATTGTCTTATTTCAAGTGCATCAGGTGCAAGTGCATTATCTTATTTTAAGAGAATAAATACTAGTTCCATTAGCAAATCATCTTATTTACCTGCTCAAATTAGGAGTAAATATACTTAATTTAAGAAATGTTGACTTATTTCCAGATCGCTTTTGCAGTGTGTACAGACAAGGTAGCTCTGCTGCTTTTCAGGAACTGAAAGGAGGGTTTAATAAAGCCAGACCCACAGTGGTTTAGATCGAAGAGTAACCATCTGTTAGAATAACACAATGAATTTTTAATTTTGAAAAAAAAAAGAAAAGAAAGATTGGATTACTCTGTCTAAATGTGGAAATCTGATAAATGGTGCACTGATCTGATAAATTCTGAAAAACGTCCAACTTTTCCTTCAATTTGGTAAGTACTTAGCATAGGTCCATCACACAAAATCTCAGTTCTTACAAAGTGCTAATAACAGAGAAGGTGTCAGTACTTTTTTGGAGGCTCTATAACTGTTGGACAGAAGGCCTTTGCTGCTTCATCCCGGCTGATCCTCCAGTTTTGATTGCAGCGCTGCTCCTACCGCCCCACACAGCAGCAGATGAAAAGCACACATGTAATTTATCGCCAATGTTTCCTCCTCAGGAATAATTGTGGCGACCGCGGCTGGGCAAAGGGATCGATGGCTATGGATTTTTCTGTGGTGGGGTCTTGTAGTGTTGGGCGTAATGAGAGATGGACAGGAGGGATGGAGGAGTGACTGGAGCAGTTTTGTTGTTTGTTTGTTTAAAAAAAAAAGAAAAAGCCCGAGCAGATGATTGGTAACTCATGTGGAGTTTACAGACCTATGAATAAAGCTGTTGTTCATTTAGTTTTTCCATTATTCTTTTTTCATTTATTTCTACATTTCTTTTAATGAGTGCCTCAGAAATCAATTTTCCTTCCATTATTATTTAGTAGCTGCGAGAACAAAAAAAATATGCGAAAGAGGTTTTTTGTTTTTTTTTTTATTTACGAGAATGATTCCAGGTTTTAGCTTTTGGCCTTTTTCAAAGTTTTCCCAGCTTCGTTCCTTTCTATTTATTCCCTATTCTGATAGAAATATAAACACAGTCCCAGATGCTTAAATCACAGTTAAAAACTAACCACACTTTATGTATATAAAAGTGTCCTGTATTCCTTGATGTTAAAGGGATCATTGAAAGTCTCTTATTCTTATTACAGTACTTTAACTTTGCAGTAAACTTCATTCCTTTGTTTAAGGTCCGCCTGAGAAATATATTCATGTAAATCAGAGGTAGAACCTTACAGGGAAGCAATATCCCCAGAAATTACAGATCCCTGCTGGTTAACTGATCAGTATTTCCCTAAAAAAAAAATAATAAAAAAGAATATTTAACCAAAAATGTGTCTTTGGTTCATTTTCAATGTGTATACTGTGAGTGCACCAGCATGTAGAATCTTATTTTGACTTTCCTTTGCACAGCTGAATAATAATACAGTCATTGGTACAATATCAATTTGTGCAAAATCACATTTGCAAAGGAAAGCTTTTATGCAATAACTGATAGTTTGTAGAATGTCAATAAATGTGCATCAAACACGTTTTTTTCAGTAACATTTTTTTTTACTCTAAAAGGCACCATAACTGAATTAAATATACTTTTACATTCTACAATTAATAAGATTTCTCTTGTTTTTATCGTGTTTTTATATATATATATATATGCGTGTGTGTGTGTGTGCATATGAATATTCGAATGTGATTTTCTGAAATAGTTTCTTTTTTCTCTATTAAAATGTCATAGAATATAATAAAAATCGCAAAGTTTAGTCGCACCATTCTGAAGATGACATTAGATCCTCAATCTGTTTAGTTTAACAGGCTTCCAGCAGCTTTCTTTTCAGATCAACCTAATTAGTAATTATTTGATTTATCAGTTAATCCAAACAGTACACTGTCCTTGAAAATATTTACATACTCTAGCAACGATTATGTGGCATTTAATGTTAACCACAAAGTGAAACGCAGAGAAAGATTTACACTCCTGTGGTGATAAATAGGCCTCTGGTGATGAGGAAAAGTAATTTGGTGTTATTCTAGACCAGAAAAAGTTGTTTCAATTTGATATTCCTGAAGGATTTTCCTCTATAAAGTGGATTGTATATAATTTCATTTTTGTTGTAAAGTGCCTTAAGGCGACTTATCTTGTTATTTGCCGTGACAAACATATAAGTTGAATAGATAAGTTAAAATAATGATGAAAAATAACGGGACTTGTAGTGGATAGTTGTTTAAACTGTTGGATTTGTCTTAGAAAAACTTGGATTGTGAAGTCAAACTGCACAAACCAGCCAACAAATGTCCTTTTCTAAGTTTATTTTTAAGTGGCACCGCATTAAAACTCCTCTCACAGTCGAGTGGCTTTAAATGGATGGAGAGCGGGAAACTTGAGGCCGCTTGGTCTCTGTGGACTCATGTGAAAGCTGCTATCTGTGCTGAAGAGGAGCAGAGCAGCCAAGGCCCAGCTGGAAGAGTCACCCAAACGTGTTATCAGTGTGTGCAGAGAGCCGAGCTGCACCATCAGCAATCGAGATGAATATTTAAATGAGGATCTTAAAACATACGCACCAAGTAGAATCTGACCTGTATGTTAAACATAGGTGGAGCATCAACGGCATCTCCACCCTTTGAAACACAATGTGACTACCTACAGTTGCTCACCACATGCAGTTTGTGCAGCTTTGCGTGCATTTGCATGCACATCTGCATCCAATCTGTAAATGTGTACGCTTGTTTCCCCTGAGTGAGACTAATCGTGAATGTTGCAGTCCTTGTGTGGATGTGTGCGCTGTGGCAGACAGAGAGGTAGAAAGAGAGACCATCGTGCTGTTAATGATGGAGCCAGATGCAGAGGAGAGAGAAGGAGTGTAAAAAAGCTCTCCACGCTCCCCATCTGGAAGGCATCGCCCCCAAATGAAGTTGTACAAAACCATCCCATTGATAATAAAGCTAATTTTTATGGCTCTGACAAGTATGTAATTATGTTCAGCGGTGCTTTTCAGATTTTATCACAGTCAATAAACCACACTGGCAATTTCCCGTCCCCCATTTGACATATTTACACGGATCCATCTGATTGGAGGAATTAGTTAGCTATGAGAGCTCTGATGGATATACACTAGTGATCTGTGACTTCTGCTTGGCTCATCTGTTAGCCAACTAGGCCCTCTGCTCATCTGTTCAATCTGTCTTTTCTTTTTTGCTCCTACTTTACAAGATTCTCCCTTTCTCGCCATCCGCGTCCTCTTTGTCTTGTTTGAATGCCGAGCTTTTCTCAGCAGCGCTTTGGCTGCCGCTCTCAGTGAAATGTCACATTGTGGCATCAAGACTCATCAGTCTGATCCACAGCCATATGGCAAGTGAGATAGCACTGGTGCCATTTAGTTTTTATTTCGTGGTTGTTGATGCAGCTTTGGAGTGAAACGCGACAGCATGAGAGAAATCAGCTTTACCTCTAGTGTACTTTAACAGAAAACTTTGTCATCAATCCATTGGTTGTCTAGCTTTACCCCGTAGCTCCGTCTTGGACTGAAACAGATTCCATCTTTACAGTCTAACTTTTCTTCGTTTTGTGTAATTATGGCCTCGTCCTTGTTTTTTATGAGGGGTTTTGTTCATGAAATTTGGATTAAACAATAAAAAAGTGAATTTTTGAGCAACTTAAAAAAAAAAAAAAAAAACTGCCTCATATTTCTCCCACCGGTTTTTTTTTTTCTGGACTGTTTGCCAATTAGTGTGTTTCTTGGTTTGTATTATTTCATCATTAGCCTTCCTCACTTTTTCCACTTTGTATTTCTAGGGGAGAAGTCCTACCTTTGTGATCTGTGTGGCTTTGCAGGAGGCACTCGACACGCCCTCACCAAACACAGACGCCAGCACACGGGTAAGCAACCGCACACGCATATCCTGAGTGTTACGTGAAGACTTTCCTAATCTGGAGACGACCATTAAGACATGAACTGTTGGACAGTTTAGGCGACTGTTTGCTGTCTCTCACACACTCAGACGCATCATCTGACCAGCTGCCACCCGTTGATGGACATGTGTACAAGTGGGACAGACTGAATCTGAGATTTTTTATTTTTGTTATTATCTCATCGTGTCATTTTGTCACTTTGGGAAAATTCATTTTTTTAGATGGTTGTCAATAACAAGTGTCCTTTTTTTCCATCTCTCAAAGGAAAAAAAAATGGAATAGTGAAACAAATATTGTTAACATTCAGCTGATGGGCTACCAACAATTAATACTTCTCATATGAAAAAATATTCATATGTTAAACTTGCTTGTACCTAAAATGTCCCATTTCTGGCTAGTCCTCCTATGCTGACGTGTCATTTCCACTAATTTACCTGCACGTCTAGTAACAAGATTTCATCATTTCACCACTGGGGCAACATTGAAGCCCAGCATGTAATCATGGAAACTCCTAAGAGACCTACTGTGCCAATATTGTTTGATGATTTGAAGCTTTTATGCAAAGACAGAGCAGAACAGCCTGGTGGCGCTTGCTATAAGTAAATACACTGTCCAATAAAGGTTATGTTAGGAACTAAAAAGAGTTAAATAGATGTTGCTAAAGGATTAAGATAAATACCTCACTGCTAACTCTGGTCCTCTTAAAAAAAGTAAAATAAAAAAGATTTGCAGAAAGCTAAAACTTATTTGCAAAAGGTTTCTTTCAAGAACTTTAAAATTGTAATGTATACATATTTACATAAAGTATAAAAAACCTTGTTGTCTTAAACAATCAGGGATCAGTCATTTGAATCTGATCCAATTTTAGGCATTTTTAAAGTCAAAATGTTGCTTACTTGTAGTGGATAATTCTTGAAAATACTTCCGTTTGTGTCTTTAGAAATAGAAAAAAAAGTTTTTTGTAGTGTCTTCCTTGTGTGTTGGATGTCGCTACTAGAGATGCACCGCTCCAGTTTTTTCCGATCCAATCTGATACCGATACCTGGGCTGAGCGTATCGGCTGATATCCGATACCAATCTGATTAAATGAATGAACCATATATTTTGCTATGTGAGGGAAGTCTTTAGCTTTGACATAAATATTGATAAAAAAAAAAAAAAGGTAACAAACTCCTACAGAAATTAATTTACTTTATAATATTTATTAACAAATAACCAGCAAAAAGAAAAAAAAGTTTCATGTAAAGGTCACTGGATTAGCTCTCCGATATCAATGATATACGATCCAGCTACTTCATCAATATCTGAACCCATATCCGATCCAGGTATTGCATCGGTTCGTCGCTTCCCTTAGCTAAAAGTTAGCCTGACGTAGTCCTACTCAATTCTAGTCAGAATATGAGTCTGATACTGCTCCATAGAGCTGTGATTATGGGGCGTGTTTTGAACGGACCAGGAAAAAAAATGCCTCTGCACTCAATTGGATAGACCTGCAACCAATAAGAGCAACGGAGTGCGTGACGTATGTTAAGCCAGGCATAGTTGTTGTCAACAAAAATCAAAGTGTGCAGTTGCGCGCCTAGAATAAGAAGATGAGCCGTGATCGCGTTTCTCTGTTCCTCTTTTAAAATTAATTTGCTGTCGATATCTTCTAGAACAGACCTAATAGCAGAATCTAATCACCTCAACTCTTCGGCGGCAGCCATTGTTGTTGTCGCCCAAGCGCGCTTTGGTCACGTGGTTGATTACGTTACTGTTGATCATCTTGTCCATCATCGTATAAAGCCCGCCCTGACAATTTGATTGGATCGCCAGAGGGTGGGCGATCATACTCGCGCTACTATGGAGCAGAGCCAGACCGAACTTCCCGACCTCAAACCTTGTGGGCGGGACTAAGTTCGGAATGGCACCCAGGCTAGCTAAAAGTAGCATATTTGAAGTAAATTCTATTAAGAATATCTAAGTATAAGTTTAGAAAGTATAACGAACAATGTACACGTAGTGTAATACTACTTCGAACTAAATTGGGACATTTTTAAGTTTACTAAAGTATACTTTAAGTATACTTTAGTAAACAATAAAGTAAACAATAGTATAGTCAAGTACACTTGACTATACTATTGTTAAGTGTATGAAATATAGTTTAGAATAAGTAAACACTAAGTGCACTGCCTGATTTTAAGTATGAAATTAGTGCACTTTTAGTATACTTGAATAAACTACTTTTTGCTAAGGGTTGTCAGAACTTCTTTCACCATAGAGACATGCTAAAAAAAAACTGGACAGCATTTAGCAGCGTTCCCTGACAGAAAATTTTACATTTAAATTCAAGTACCATTATTTTGTCAAACATTGCGTTTCCTTCAGCTTTTTTAAGTATTGCATAAGAAATTTGAAAAACAACCTCAAATTTGCTAAAAAGTTTTTACACTTGTTTTAGGTGTTTTTTGTTTTTCTTTGCTTTTGCGTAAAAAAGGTTAATGCGCAAAACGAGAGATGAAAACTTTTTCTCAAATGAGCTCTGACATAACGATCTTCTCTTAACATGACTGATCAGCTGTTTCTGCTGTCAGCGTCTTCATGTTACTGTTATGCATGTCGGCATGGCTAGCTGACTTGTTGACGTGCCTGATAGCAACTCATTTATTAAACCATCCCTCCATTCCTGATCTGTGGGCAGTGCTAGATTGCAGCCTCTACTTCCTGTTTATAAAAGCCATATGTGATCCTTTAATGCAGACAATGTCGTATGACGACATGCGATCCATATGTAATACATCAAAGTTTGTCATTGTAAGCAGAGTTGTTTCCATTTTTTATTACCCGCCTTATCTCTTAAATCTCATGTCAGCTGCAATATTTTAGCTTAGTGTTTCTGCTCTGTGTTTTTTTTTCTTCTATGCCATCTGTGTCTCATTTCTCCCCTCTGTCCTGTTTCTTTTCAACCCCTCCACACAACAGGAGAGAGGCCATTCAAGTGTAAGCTCTGCAACTTCGCCTCCACCACGCAGTCCCACCTATCACGGCACAAACGTGTTCACACCGGAGAGAAACCGTACCGCTGCCCCTGGTGCGACTACAGGTACCGGCTCATTGACCTACACATGGCAGTTGGCGGCGATGTCACTGATAATCAGGAGGTTGATAGGAGGGGGTTCATATGGGCAGTGGTGTTAGATGGTGAGAAAGCAGGTGGCGTTGTAGGGTATTCTGGTGGAGTGTTCGGGGTAGTGTTGGTGCTAAAAGCTTTGTGTGTGTTTGCTGTGGTTGAAAGTGGTGGAGAGCAGACGGGTCCAATCTCCACAGCACGGCTCCATCTCATCACTCTGCCATCATCAACAAGCCCAGCCAGAACTCCACAACACGCACTCTCAGCCACATTCCCACTCACAACCTCACACACAATGTCACTGTCACTGGCGGGTCCCTGTCATTAAAACACCATCATACCACATCAGTAATTACACAGGAAATTGTCGGTGAAATTGAAAAAGTTTTGGCTGGCGTTGCACATATCTCTCTCTTTCTCCCTTTTTCTACCTGTCTGTTCCTCTCTCCCCTTCATTCATCCCCTCTTTCTCTCACCCCACGCTTCCTCGTCAGATTGTGGCAGGAAAGTGTGAAAGGGAATGATCTGAAACCCATCATTGGTTTTAGATGTACTCATTTGTTTTTTTTTGTTTTTTCCCCTTCTGTGACAAAATCATTTTAGCAGCTCGCTACACCTGCTTTGCTGAGATGAAACCCTGGACTCTGGCTTTATCTGTGTTTTCAATGCAGCTACACACAAAGAACAGCAGATATGAGGGGGAAAGAGAAATGCTGACAAGCTATAATTGTTCACAACTCATCGCTTTGTGTTTTAAAGGAAACTTTGATTCACCTTTTTACTTTCATACACCAATTATGTTACCTCTGCCTTGTTTGATGGTAAGATTTCTCTACTTTCAGTGCTCCTTAACGTCCCATTCGTATCCCTGTCTTTATATAAGTCATGGTTTTCACATATTCAGATAAATCTTTCAGCATAAACCGTTTAACTTGTTACTGTTTGCACAAAGTTAAATGTGTTGTTCTTGTTACCCCCTAAAAATAATAAAATATTACATTTATCTTTTTCTTTCAGGATTCCTTCATTTTGTTTCCTGCAAAATTTAGTAGTAGTACAATCTAAATATTATAATACCAAGTTGGCTAGATTAAAACCATGAAGACATCTAAAGACAAACCCACTGTTGCCATGCTTTATTTTTCACAAAGCATTTTATTTTCATTTGTTTCCATATAAATAATATATTACTGACCCACTATATATATATATATATATATATATATATATATATATATATATATATATATATATATATATATATATATATATATATATATATATATATTAGGGGTGGAACGGTTCACAAAATCCACGGTTCGGTTCACGGTTTTCGGTTCGGTTCGGTATATGTTGATTGTTAGCCTGACATGTTGGTCATGTTGCCGTTAGCATAAACAAAACGTGTTGCACAATGCTTGCACACTGTTGCACTTTTATCCACAACTTTCTTTCCGCCGTCATCGTAGGTCACTCTAAATGCAAAGCGCTCCCATACAGCAGACCCATAAAGTGCTGCTGGCGTGTCTTCCAACTCCTGTTCTTTCCCACTCGCCATTCCGACACAATTCTCCACAACAGCTGATTTTTTTCTGCTACACCCGGCTACGCTGCGTCGCTTTTTCTTCTTCTTGTTTACTACTGGTGGTTGACTTTGGTTGCAGTACCGCCACCTTCTGCTCTGGAGTGTAAACGCTTCGCCTATGAGAAAAAGGAGCAGCGCATGAACGAAACGAAACACACGCGAATCGAACCGAGACAGTAGAACTGAACGGTTCGGATGGTTTTCATAAACCGTTCCATCCCTAATATATATATATAGTTACTATATATATTGTTACTAAGATTTTCAGTGTGTATTCAGCTATTAAACAGTTCAGCTTTATTTGGTAAAGGCTTTTCTGTCTAAGGAAACCAAGGTGATTGCTTTCTGTCTGAATTGGCAGCAATCCTTCCTCCAGTGCATTCCACTGAGTTGTTAAACTTTCCATTACTCCTCATCCTGAGCAGGAATCTGGTAGTAGTATGACTTATTTTGCTGCACCCTGAAAATGCTACTCCTTCTCAATACAACAATGACAGTTAGTTGTTTGACAACTCAGGAGACATGGAAACCAGACTTTAGGAGCCTTCTGATCATTTATTTTGAAAGGGATTTCATAAGGAGACATTACTCTCTAAACAACCAGACTATAATGTCAAAGAATGACATCTAAGGTAATTCAGGCTCAAATCATGTCTTCTTCAATAATATATAGACATTAACTTTAGTCTTTTAAAGATTCAGTTACTGGCTTAATCATGGCTCTATTTTGGTTTCTGTCATTAAAAACAATGGTACATTGAGCAAAAATGAAGTATTATGTATTTTATGGCAAAAATGAGTCATCTGAAGATGTTTTAAAATTAGAACGTGTAAAACATGTGATACTTTGTGACATCACTGACTTGCTACCCCTTTGTGTGAAATTTGGGGCTGATATCAAAGCACTGCACTGAATTCGGCTATCAGAAAGATACTTTCCACTGAATGAGCCAAATGTTCCTAGCCCTATTGTTCCCTGGCTGATACATAATGGCCATTACTGATAGCAGCAAATGAAACAGTAAATTAGAAGCCAAATTAACATTTTGGTAGCCCCGAGGGTTCTGGAGATCCAGAGGGGAGAAAAAGGGGGGAGGGAGAGGATGTTGTAGGAAAAGGAGGCAAACGGTGGAAAACGCCATGTTGTGTTACAGATGGGGAGATGAATACGAGGGCCACCCTTTACCTTGCACCTACTGGTTGGAACAAGCAGATACCTTTGCTTGTCTGACCTTTAAGTGAATGTCAGTTTATGAAATGAATACGACTCATTCATTGAGAAGTAGCTGGGGCTTACGAAACTGACAGCCGTTGCTCACTAAAAATAACTCAGTGGCGTGGATCTACATCTGATTTGCACAGTTAGAAATATCCATGTTAAGTGTTCTGGGTGTCGCCCCTGGTTCTCACTGGATACAATGTTAGCCCCATCAAAGCTGCTTCTGAAATGCATGTAAATGAGCGGGGAGTAAATGATCTATCAAATGCCACTCATCTACCATTCAGACAGACATAGATAATGGAGGGGGGATAATTATAGTTGGGAAATAGTGGTGAAAATATTCTAATGATATTGCGTTGGGAGTCGGGGCTGTCAATTAATGATGTCTGTCTCACTTTTTCCACAGCTATTTATGCAAGCTGCTAAACTACTTTATTTCCAGTGTTTAAGAAACGATTCCTATTGTTCTCAATGAGAATTATTTTTCTCTTTAAAGTCCCAGTAGCATCTTAAATGGTCTAATCAATTTGTAGACTCTTACATCTCACATCTCTGGGTCTAACTATTGCTTTTTGCATGCTGAACACTTTATTTTAAGTCTGGGTGATGGTGGACTTAAGGATTAAATGCCCTACTGCCAAAAGGCGTTCAGGCCTGCTTCATTGTAAACTAAAGGTAAAGGAGGCATTAACCGGGGCCTCATCAGGAGAATAAGACTCATAAAATCCAAATGATCCAAATAAAACCCTTCCCTGCACAATGAACACGTTTAAATCGTCTTTAACCAAAATGCTTCTGAATTGCACCTCTTCCATTATATACTCTAGGGGAGGAAGAATATGCAAGTGGCTCAGATAAAGAAAGGAGCCACAAAGTGGCACATGTGTTGGTTATCAGTATGGCTGACTCCCGTAGTGAGTGCATAAGTTGGGGGAGGAAGTTGAAACAGTGTTGGGCTAATTAATCCAGTGTATAGTAGGAGGGTTGGTGTGGGCTTTCACTAACTGTGAGACCTGCTGACTCCTAAACGCACATTGTGTTGTTTTAATATGACAATTACCCCATTACCATATCTGAGAGATAGCACGGCCCCCTAGGAATCCACCCGCACTCTCTTTAGAGGCTTTTAGCTCCGCTTCGAATTGTATCTATTTATGCTGCAGCCCTAGAATAAGTGATCAGTTCACTTTTCAGCATTAAATGCTTTCTTTTTAGCACCCTCATTTGTGTTAATTTGAGTGCATGTGACTGTTTAGAATTAAGTTTTGGGGTTTTTTTCTCCCTCAGACTGAAGTGGCAGCAACAGATGGCTGCATGTTTACCTGTGAAGCTGCTTTGCTTTGTTAGTGGTAGCAGATAACAAAGAATTCATGTTTTTGTTTTTTAATAAATACCATAAAAACCATACTATTATACATTAAAATTATGAAGAATAATTAATGACATATTGTACCTATCATGCTGTGGAGGGTTAGAGGAGAATCAAGCTCAGTCAAAAGGGTTTGGGGCGTTGAAATTTTATTGTAATCCAAAGGGGGCCCAGAAGAAAATCTTTGGGAACCACTGCCTTAGATCATAAAAAAAGAAAACTTTTAAGAGTTGCAGTAAGAGAAATGGACATGGGTGAGAAACGGCAATGGAGAAGCAGGCAGTGGAATGGGAGAATGCAGCAATGAACAATAAGAATCAGTGAGTTTATATACTGAAGGAAGATGGTGAGAAACAGATGAGGAAAAATGGAAAGAGAAGCTGAAGGAGATGACTAATCACAGAGGTCCCTGGATTATAACTAGGGCTAAAACAATTAATCAGATTAATCATGATAAATCGGTTATTGAAATAATCGTCAAATAATTTAGTAATCGATTCATTGTTGAGCTAACAGATCAACCCACTTAGAAAAGTTATTTTATTAAAATTGTAAAAAGCAAAGTACATAGGCATTTTTCATTTAAGATTTTTTTTTAAATGTGTTTGTCTGTCAATATGCTCTATCCAGAACTCCTCAAGTGGAAAAGTTTTAGTTTCAACTGGTTTAATTTCATAAAAAAAAAAAAATCTTATTTAAGGAACCTTTGGCTATCCGGTTAATAATTGATTAATAAAAAAAAATAAATCGACAGATTAATTGATTTGCAAAATGAATCAGTTGCAGACCTAATTGTGAAACAAACAAACTATTATAGTAAGGGGAATAGAGTTCATCAGAGATTTAGCAAACTTATAAAGACAAGTACTCAAGAATTAACTAAGAAAGCAAACACAAAGGAATGAACAAATATTCCAACACTTGAGAGACAATAATGAACAACAACAAATGATCAGGACATGGTAGCACTTTTTAGAATGTAATAAACTAGTAAAATATTAAAACATAACCAACACCTAAAGATCTTAAAAGACAGGTCCATGTAGAGTACATATTCTGTTCATGACTGACCAAATGTGACATAAAAAGAACTGCTGGAAACAGTCAAAGTAATGTAGTATAAGTACTGTTTATGTGGGTAGCAGCCATCATGAATGAGGGAGTTGGACACAATCAGGCTACCTGGGATTCTAAGCTTCTTGGGCGTTCATGCTGAAAAGTCCAACTCAGAGGTCTGAAATTCTGACTTCTGAGGAAGTTCAGTTCAAGTCTGGGGATCAGGTTACGAGTGGACAGCCTTTAGCATTACAGTTCACTCTAGGCAGCAAAATTCAACCAAAATGGTCAGATCACATCCACCCAATGGCCATGAAAACGACCGTCCAATTAAATGCCTGACAGACATGGTTCCAGACACCCAATTCAACTAAAACCCTGTGGCTAATTCTGCAGGATCTCAACTCATTCCCAGGTCAGACCACATGTATAATTTCTTTAGTCGGTTTGGGGCTTTAAAAATTAAAGGAACATAATCTGAACCAAGTGTTTTATTTTTCATACTCTTAACTGTAGTCTATGTATAAAAGTATATAGCTGTTTCAGTGATAGCACTAATATAAACTCAAGAATCAATATGCTGCAGGATTTTTTAGTTCAGGCCTACAAAGTTGATATTATTTTCATTTTATGTTTAATTAATAAACACAATCCTATATGCTTGCATTAATCTTTATGTTGATTATCATTAAGTATAGTATTAGTAATAATTTTTACAAAAAAAGATAGTCTATAGCCCCCAGGATGCGGTGTGTATGCGTTGGTAATTTCTAGGGTTTATTAAGGTGGTCATTTTCTGGTTTAGAGTCTAGTTTTAGTAAAACCTTCAGCTGTAGAGCTGTTATTGTTCACCACTGGCTAGTGCTTATTTATTTATTACTTGTGCCCCACCCAGTGAGGGTTGGCTTCTTTTTCTTTTTTTTTTTTGGCCGCAGTGAAGCCAGGACGGACTATAGACCTGTGATGGAGAGAGGCGTCTCTGCAAAAGTGAAAACAAATTCCCTCTTTGGCTGACGTGAGCTATGGCACTGTGGGGCTTTATTGTCCCGGCCAAGGTGATAAGGGAGAATAATTGCGTATTATACTGTCCGAGAATGTCAGGTCCAAACTGAGCACGAGTGCCCCATCCATCAACACACGACGGTGTGTGAAGCAGTGTTCTGCTCTGCACATGCGTACTTGTATGATTCATTGAATGTGAGCGCATGTCTGTGTGAGTTCACTGATTCATGTCTGTATATGAAGACCACTGCTGCATCATCTGATTCTTTGTTCTTAGTTTTACATCTTCTTTAGATTACATATTTTATTTTGTAGGTGTTTAGTATAAATATGTACACCCAGTCAGGCTTTACCTTTCACAAGTCTGTGTGTTTATGTGGGTATGGAGCCAGGTTTAGATGCACCCTGGGAGAGGATCAGGCAGCATCATTAATCAGCAGAGGGTTCTGTCTGACTCTCTCAGCTGACATCGTTACATCCTATCTCCCTGCAGTAGTTCACTTCTTGGCCTGGACTGTTTGACCAACCCAAACACACACACATACAACAAATATGGCACAATAACATCATCCTTTACCTTTCTTGAAGCTGCTGAAGATACATAACTGCATAAAAGATGTCCTCAGACATCTTTCTCTAATGCGTTCAGAGGGCCTGAATCTTCCAGCGGTCCTAACAGAATGCTTTCATCTAAGATGAAAAGTGTGTTAAGGGAAATGTCTTACAGACTCCAAATAGCCTCCTTGTGTCGTCACTAGTCTCTAAATATATGCTTGGAGACCTTGTCCAGTTTTTGTCGGGAGTTTTTCTCTCACATGTGTCAACATAATAAAATGTTTTCCCATCAGATGCTTCTTGAACTCACAAGCAAATATCTAACTTGTATTTTTTTCTCCTGGAACATCTTTTTAGCTCTTGCCTTTTTTATTCAACTTTAGAATAAAAGTAAACAGGTTTATCGTTTTGATTTTTTTTTTTTTGTCCTGTAGATCCAACTGTGCCGAAAACATCCGGAAGCACATTCTTCATACGGGGAAACATGAGGGGGTGAAGATGTATAACTGCCCCAAATGTACCTTTGCCACAAACTCTCCCACTGACTTTCGCAACCACCTGAAGGACAACCACTCTGACATCGAGAACCCGGACCTTGCATATCTACATGCAGGTAAGTTTGCTTAAATACTCACCAAGTCAAGGATTCTGCAGTTCTAGAAACAGATTCTACAATATACTGTTGAAGTTGACAAGTAATTTGTATTTATCCTACTCTTTTACCTCACATTCCAAGTCCAATGGATTATGGCAATCAGTGAAACACCTTTACCCAGCACTCACACTTGAGTCAGAAAAAAGTATATCTAATTTACTTTAAGTTCTATCAATGCAACAAAAAATCTTTTATTTAAATAGATCAACGCCATTTTTTTTCTGGAAGTTTCCCATGACTCTGATTATTGTGTTTGTCTCGGTTGCTGAGCAACGTTTGGGGATTTGCCAAAGGGTAAAGGGGCATTTCACAGATTTTACAGCTGATGATCTGTTGTAACGTCAAAGGAACCACTGCTCTGCCTCTAAACATGGTGTTATTATCTCTTCACTATCTCCAAGGGAACCTTTGTGGTCCTATTTAATAACCAAGGTTGTGTCATACTGATACTACTCTCTTGGAGATTAAAAATGTTTGATTAAACAAAGAAATCAAGGACTACACTACATAAAAATTCATAAGTCAGGAAATACCTTAAAAAAAAAAAGATGAAGTAATTATGATAACCACTGAGCTTGAAAAAGTTCAGTTTAGGCAACTGGCCGTGAAGTTAAACTTCACGGCCAGTTGCCTTGACCAAACTGTTTCAAGCTTGACCGTGACCTGGATGACTGAGAATCTTTACAGATTAGATAACCATATGGGTTATATGCCTCTTTTTCTATGATTATGAAAGAAGACTACAGTCGGTAAATATCTATATAGTGACTCCATACAGGAACCATAATGCTGTTGGGTTGGAGGTAATAGTTCTTAATGGAACCTTCTCCATTGGACTAAATAGTCTAGCCTTTAGGTCTTTGCAGCTTTCTGGCATACCACAGAGATCATTCTTATGCCCTCTTGTGCTTTTTAATTCCATGTCTTCTCTGTTTAAAAGTTTCTATCCATCATTATTGTTTACTTTACCATTGATTAAGAGTCAATAAGGGTTTTTTTCTTTGTGACTTCAGAGATGATTACGGTAGAGTGAATGTCTTTATTATAGCACGGTTTGTAGCATTGTTGCCTTGCAGCAAGAAGGTCCTGCCTTCAAATCCCAGCTTGGGGTATTTGGAGTTTGGATGTTCTTGAGTTGTGATGGATAGATGGACGGACGGACGGACGGACAGATGTCTTCACATAGTGCCATCATAATTCTGAAAGTTATGATCTTATAACTGTTTTTACAGCAGATGTAGAAGTTGTATAGTGTTGTATATTTGTCTACCGGTATTTACAAATGAGCTGGTGATTGAGAGCTAGCTTTGTTTCTGCATTTGCATATGCTGTCATGAACACATGCAGTTTCATGACTCAAGTCAAACAATGATTACCAAAATATGTGGATGCATTTTTCTTTGCAGGTCACAGTTTATGTGTAATAGAAATAATGCTTATTTTCTTCTTTTTAATTGGCATCCCCCTCATACGTGAAGCTAAAATTGTCTAAAAATACTTTACTGAGTTTGTTTTTTCCTGTTTTGTCTTCTACCTCATTTCTTGTAATAGTTGAGAACATTTATTCTACTTTTGTAATATTACTTTTTTTTAGAAGATTCGAACATAATCTTGTATTATGTCTTTGGAGTGGGATGGTCCAGAGCTCTAGTGTTTTTTTGTCAGTGGATCAAGTCTTGTTCTTAAGCTTTGATGAAGGGCACCCAGCCACAAAGAACCAGAGCTCAGAGATTGCTGGCGAAGCCATCCCTGCCAATCACTCAGGCCACAGAGACAGATGAAATCTTGTTCTTCCCCGATTGGGTTCTTTTGTGTCCCAGTGTTCCTCTTTGTCCTTGAGGACCTCCAAATCCAATCGGTAGAGTGGCTGTCCTTCATAGGTGCAGCGGGGACAGCCTTTATCCTGTTATCCCTCTGACCTTACACAAAGGCATTGGAAGCAGAGGGGAGCGCTATTGGAGAAAAAAGCCAGCCAGGGACGGACCTTTCTGGAAAACAGCTGCTTTGTTTTGATACTTATTTTTACTAGAATTGGTCAAATATTCGTACTTTTTCAAACTCTGAGGTTTGATGTTCTGAGTTAGTGATTTTTACTTCTTCTTTATATATTTTTGTTGAATATGAGGTTCTTCCTTAAACTTGTTTACTTCCACCTCCTAACCTCTTCTTCAACCTTTTTACCTTAGTACTTCCATATTCTCTCTACCCTCTCACCTTTAACCAAAGCACACATTTAGGTTTAAATTTACCTTTTCACCCCACTGTTGTTCTCACTTTTCTTTGTCCAGCTTCCTGACCTTTGTTAAAACAGATTCAGAATAAGTTTTTATTCAGTGTGGGCCTCCTAAGTTTCACCTGTGAACCCATAAAAAAGAGCCAGCCATAACAAAAAAGAGAGTTTCTTCTGGAATCTATATAAAGTGCAAGTCATTTGCCTTTTTTCTGTATTATGATCTCATGATGAAATGTTCAACATTTGTTTTTATATTTTCATGAAGTTGGACAAATACATTTTACACAAAATTTACAGTCAAAGAAGTATTGGTATCCCTTATAGTATATACTGTCTATATCCCCATTACCAATAGAATAGCAGTCATGCATTGGGAGCCCAAGATGCTTTGGGCTGACTTGTCAGAGACACAACATTATACCTGACAAAATCTGGGCCAGAGTAGAACAGGTTAGTAAAGAACCAACCATTGTCATTGAGGTTTTCCCTAGAAAATAATAGTGCAGTTTTTTGGGAAGAACATCTGACATAGTGTTCTTCTATGATACGTCAGAAGGTTGAATCATAGAGAGTGACTGATCTTTAAATATCTTTCTTTACATAGTCTCTCTCAGTGGTTTCAAACTCAAGTCATTGAAGCCCGATGTCCTGCAATATTAGATATGTCCCTGGTCCAACACACCTGAAGAAAAAGACTAAATTACTTCCTCTGCATGTACCGAAGATCTGCGGAGTCTTGCTAATGACCTTATCATATATTTAAAAGGTGCAAGACACTGGCCCTCATGGACCGGAGTCTTGACACCTCTGCTCTAGATCAGGGGGTCTTCAATCCTGCTCCTCAGGACTCACTGTGCCCACCATGTTTTAGGTGTGTCACTTCTCCAGTACACCTGATTCAAACCGTTGCATTCTCTCATCCATCAAGGGCCACCGAGTCCTCTTTATCACCCATTTATTTAAGTCAGGTGTGTTGGGGTAGAGAAAACCCTAAAACAGGCAGAACAGTCTGTGAATTGAAGACCCTTGGTCTATTGGCTCTATGAACAATTCTAATACTTCCTTAAGTTAAGGCAGCTCCTTTCTTTTCTATCTGTCTCTACAAGATGAATTGATTAATCCAGGTGTGCCTGACATCAGTAACCATGACGACATTGGCCAGGGGTTGTTTATAAAGCCCATTACATTCAGAGTGCTGGTTCTTCTGTTTTGTTTTTTTTCAATTCAGGTTGGCTCATAGTTTTATGGTTATGTCTGTGGACAAAGATGGACATGAAAGGTTGATTTAGTGTCTGGTAAACCGTTGTGTCTTCTAGTAGACCCTTTTCCATCTCAGGTACTTTCAGCCATTACCCAGGATTAAGTTTCCAAACGTTTAAAACAAAACAAAAAAATGGAGTAAATTCCTGGTTTCATGGCTTCACTTCTCCGTGCTTCTCGCTGTCATGGTTGTTAGGCAACAGAAGCGGGAACAGCTAGTGATGCCTTTGGTTTCTTTCTACCCTCACCTGCTTGGCTGGAGATGTAGTGCAATTCTCTTTACATGGCTCCTTCAAACTTGTTTTCTGCAGCCTCTCAGTGTACAGAAATGACCAGGAATGCCTTCTATCCCAGTTAAAACATTCTCAAGTATTCAAATCAGTATGGAAAACAGGCTAAGGTTACCAAGGCCTTGGAGGAGGAACGGACTAATAAAGTTCCATTAGAGTATAGCAAGGGAAGACGAGGACAGAAAAGAAGTGTTCTTTCCGGGCATAAAGATCCCAAGATTCCATTCTTTGCAAAAGTTTTGGGAAGTATTATTATTTTCTAATATTTTCCCTCCATTTCTGTTTTTTTGCAAACTGTGGCAGATAAACTCAGGTCCTGATGTAGAGGTTAATGGATAAATTATTTGTTATAAGTAAAAATGGTACTAAAAACAGTTGGACTGTTATTTTGAAGCCTCTTTAAACCTCATTTATTTTATTTTTTAGTAAAGACGGTTTTCTCCTTTTTCTGCCGGACCAGTGATGCAGAGAGCTACATACTTTTCAGTGTTTTATGTGAAGGTCAGATCTCATCTAAAAACCACAGCATTCAAAGGAAGCACATCTTCCTCCTTCAGTCAAATTAAGCAGCGTATTTTCAAGATGTCATCTTGGCTCTAATAGATATTCAGCTCACAGCTCGCCGCACACAGAAACTGAAGAATGACAGCAGCTGCAATAACCTAAAATACAGCAGCCGGCCCTTTTAACTCTAGGAATAAAGTTTTTATAAAAATAATTGCCTTTAATATTTGATAATTCTAGCGTATCAGCCTGTAAATAAGGACACATTTTAGCGTCATTAAAAGTCAAAGCAAAAAAGAAATTGGTGATCTGAGAGCAGATTGAAAATCCACTTGTGAACCTTTCCTCTTTGAAAAACAGGGGAAAGAGGAGGTGGCAGGAGGAAGAGGAGTTCTTCATCTAAGTAGACAGAACGAGTCCAAAAGAAAGAGACAGGGGGAAAAAAGATTAAGAAGGTAGATGTTGAATTAACCTGCTTGTGATTGCTCTCTGTCAGAGTGGAACCGGGGCCAGCAGCGAGAGGCAAATCGGCTGTGATGGCCCTTCCTGCTGTTCCCCCTTTGAAAGACACAGATCAAACGCAGCTCCAGTCGCGGGCCCTTGTAGCCCCTCGCCCCAGATTGATTGACACCCGAACGTCTCGGCTCGTGCTCCGTCTCTCCATATCGCTT